ATAAGAAAGTACGGAAATGCTTAAATATCGAGCCTGCGTAGCATTTCCAATGGGAGAAATGTTTCGTCACTCATCAATGCATTAATGCAATCACAGCATTGTAGCCATTCCCCAACTCTCTGTGAATGGCACTCATGGCCACTGATCAGTGGTCTTTGATCAATGATCGTGACAATTTCCTTATTAATGATCAAGGAACTGACCTCACAGTCCACTGCTCATTCAATGGGCTGGTTTCAGCTATTGTGCAAATATGTACTGTTTATAAGATTGGGGAAACCTGCAGTCAGCTGAGACTGAAGAAGTCACTTGGATGAGTGATGAAATGTTTCTCCCGATGAAAACGTTACGTCCAGATGAACAGAATCAAACTTTTTGGGAAGCTTATCAGTCCCAAGCTAAATGGAGAATGCTCGAGACTGTTTGTTTTTTCTTTGCTTGTTTTATGTTTGGTTTCTTCGATGGACAAAAGATGTTGATCAGATTTTAAAAGATTTTTTAGGATGTAACTAAAGGCTCCGCACATTTTCAGTATATCTTAGAAACATATGGTCTGGGAAAAATATTCAAAAAGATTTGATTGTTATAGATGAGCCCAAGACAAAATATGTTCCACAATAGTTGTCTTTATTAAGACTGAACTCGTTTCCACTAACAAATGCCTGCAATACGTTAAAACCAAATGAAATTTCATTTTTGCAACAATTACAGAGATAAACACTACAAACTAGTGCACGTAAACAACAAAACAGTTAAAGGGAAAAGAAATTCACAGCCCTGTTAGTAAGCAATGTCCAAAGAAAGATATTCATCGTTTTAATGTTGCCGTTTTGATTTTGTGTTAGGTAAGAAAGGACCTCACAATAATATTTAACTACTTTAAACATAAATAAGACAAAAACAATCTTTTAAAATTGGTTTTGAAACAGTGGAATGTGTGATATATTCATGGTCTATGACAACTATGTTGAAAGCATTGTTTGAGTAGAGAGCGTATCGGTGTAATGTGGTGTTTTACTGTAAGTGTGAAGGGATTAAGATGTATCTGTAGTTTAAATGCTGCTGGTGAGCAACTGCATATAAAATATGGATGTATAGTACTGTGCAAAAGTCTTGAATCACCCCTAATTTCTTTATATTTTGCTCTCAAGGCTCCAGACTTTCTTTCTGTCATGTTAAGAAGTGGTCCTGAGCAATAGTTCTCTAGGCTTTCTGCAGATCAGGTTTTTCTTTGGACATTGCCTGTTTTTTTTCCATTATTTTTCAGTCCTGTCCTTGTACCTGACCATTTTTAAAGCAAATATTATTTTTGTTTGTTAAGCCACTTAACACTGACCTAAAAAAGAAATCCTTAACTCAAGTAACGAACCACTGTGTCCAAAAACACAACAGACAATTTAGCAAAGAACCAAAATATAATTTTAAATTGTAACTTTAGGCACTTTTTAGTAGCAGCCTGTTAAAAAAAACATAATTTGTTCCCATTACTTTAGCTTAATCTGCAAAAAATGACCAGAAATAACATTTTGACAGATATAAAATAGGATTTTTGCACCAACAAAGGGAATTCCAAAAGAACTATTATCTGAAACTTGTCATATCTTGGCATGGGGTGCAGTGTATCCTTAAAATATGTGAGGAAATTGGTCAAGTGAAGGAAAAAAACAAAGTAGCAAACCTAAACAAAACTACAGCAGATGAACAGTATCAGTGAGTCATGTCCTTAAGAAATAGGAAAGAATACAGGAAAGAACTGGCACAGGACCTGAAAAATACATCTGGCCCTTCAGTTTATCAATTTAATGCTTGCCTCAACAGAAATGGTCTCACTTTCAGGGTCAATGTCAAGGAGAGGTCAGAAAAGAGGTATAACAGTGAGTGTCCACAGCCATCAGTAAAACACAGTGAAGGCTCTGTCATGGTTTGGGACCGGCGGCCATATTTAAAACGTATGCTTGTGTTGCAATAAATGGTTCTACATATTTCCTATTTTGCTAGCAAAATGGGGAGAAATGAGGAGGGGCTTGAGACTTTTTGGACAGCAGAAGCTGACCTCTAATAAAAATAAATAAATAAAGTAAAACATAATGGGAAATAGAAGAATGTTTTCATTTCGTTCTCTAGTTTCAAGCGTTATTATGTATTTTCTGTAACCTATGACCCTCATTAGAGTCAAAGCGAAGTATGAAGCAGGATATGTTTTTGCGATTGACAAGTCATTATGGTACTAGTGTGGCTCTTTTATCAGTCTGATCCTCCCCTTATGACAGCTGTCCTCCTGCTTAAGGCTTGACATGGTGTTTCACTAACCAATAGGTGATGCCAGAGTGGCTACAATTTTCAACCTATGGTCAGCACTCAAAGTGTTTTGCTATCCCAGTTTAGAAAACACATTTTTCTGAAGGCTTGTGCAATGTGTTTTGTTGCCACAGAGGAAATGAAGCATTAAAACAATTTTATAGCGCAGTATGTGTAATCCAGAAATGAATGAGGACACTGCGGCTCAAAAAGGTCAGTCTGAAAAATGCCAACTATATTGACAAGAGACCCAAAGCTTGATTTTACACATTACTCTAGTTCATTTTTCAGTTGCACAGGAGAAGAGCCTTTGCAATGAAGAATATTTTCTCCTCTGTTATAGTCATGGTGTTTGTAACAACATCATATCAATAAAAAAGGTAACGGTCTCTGTGAACTGATAAGGACCAAGGCTTGTGACCTGACTTTAAAATAGCTGGTAATGGGAACAAGAAGCTACAAAACACAACAGAAGTCTAACCAAGTAGGCCCTTTAAGGTCAGTATGTATAATAGAAATAATGCAAATAATGGTATTAGCATTGCCATTAAATGATGTACCCAGTACTCACACATTTCTGTGTGTGCAGGAAGTAACATCAAGGGAACTGATACATTACCCAGCACATCAGGATATGTTGGTGTGTTCACGAGATCTTTTTTTGGCTTGTTTGTTTCTCTCCAGTGTGGCTGCACTTGTGGATCGAAAACAAATTGTGACCTCAGAGTCTAGTTAACATAAATTGTATTGGTCTTTGCGGGGTAATTTTAGGAGGGAATCAATAAAAATGATTTTTTTTCCAGCAGCACTGATGAAGTTTAGAATAGTACCTGGCATTTGAGCACAGATCTAATTCACGTGTTTTCCAGGAAGATAATCCTGTTGGTTATTGTGTCTCACTGTTGTATGCCCGTATAAATGTATAGACTTATTTCTGATGCCTCACCTTGGAAGTCTGTCTTGTAAAATTCCGACTTGTATACATATTCATGTTAGGTTTATCCTCTGGCTAAATGTGCCATCTTGTAGGTCACTTTCTTTGCCCTGTCAGCTAATCTGTTGCTGGCAATGTTCCCATCTCCACTCTCAATCACAAATGTGCCCTCAAGGCACCATGACATCCACACTGCTTGTTAACAGTGGGAGCCATAAAGAACCTCGCCTGCATCAATATTCCCATATCACTCCTTTCTGCTGTGCTACAAACCAGACGCCGACAGCTAGAGAGGCATCTGATCGAGGTTGTGTAATCACTCTGGTAGCCAACACAACTGTGCTCTCGGGATTTAAAGGGCTCTTCAGTTTTCTACCATACCTGATGCAGCAACGGCACGCATGTAAAAAGTTCATTACAGAAATGTACCATGGGAACAAATGGAAATGAATTTGTGTGTACCTTCATGTATGCATGGAAATGCGATGTGTGTATCCACATCACAGATAGAGTCTAATTGTTGACCCTGGGATTGAAATGAAGTAGACTGCCACAGTAGCTGAGGGGGGTTTTACATGCTGATGAATATTGTTACTCTGCATGCAGATTTGGTATTAAAGTGCACATCAAATGTATTAAGGTGACAGTATTTTTTTTCCCTGCAGATTTTTACTTCAGAAAGTCTTCTGCAGCTGAATGAATAAATTATTCTGAGTTATTTAGGGCAAATGTGTCAACTAGACAAGTTGAGCCAAAAATACAAAGCTGGCTGCATCATAATCTATCAGCTGAAAAATACAAACACATTTAACGTCCTTTCTCTTTGATAAACAATCAAAGGCATGCACTACTGGTAGTTACACGCAAGCATGGAAGAAGAACTTCATTGTTGTGTATTGTAAACAAAATCTTTTATTTTCCTTCATGATATTTGCAGTGATCCTTTATTACAGTCACGGATTTGCTTATTTGGAAAGCATTGTCGTTTGGCTGTTGTTGTTAAGCACAGACAATTCGATAATACAACAATTTCCCTTCGGTTAAGAAACTTGTGTATTGAAACGTTATCTGTGGATTATTGTGCAATCGAAAATAAACACAATGCTTGCTGATCATTCATTCAGTGTGTTCAGCATGTGCTCGTCACTGTCACAGTCTCCTGTTCTGCCACAACACAATTCATCAAATGAAAATAAGGCAACTGTAGAATTTCCATTTGGCTCAAAGAGGTGACTGCTAATGCGAAACAGATTTTTCATAACATCTGTTTTTATGTCAGACGTGATGATGAGAACCGTGGCGTTCTGTTGCGTCTGAGAAATGTGATCTTGGTCTTTGTCGACTATAAAAGCGGTGTTTGTGAGCGGCAATCTCAAAGGGTTTTTTTTACACTTTTAGCTAAAGCAATAAAACATCCACAACTTCCAATACCTATTTTTCCACATTACATTTGACCTGTGTGTGTTTTGGTGTGGCTTCACGCTTATTGTCTCATTTAAGTGTGAGTGCTCTTTCTCGGCAATAAGGTCAGTGGTCACTGGTGATATCAGGGTCTGGTGTCAGAACGAGTTGCACAGTGATGAATGGGAGTAATCTCACAGCTGTTACACAGTCACAGACATTTTACTCGGGGGAGGGGAGAGTACGAGTGAACACAAAATTTATTATAAATATACATTTACATAACAATTTCTATGTCTTTGTCTCTCTCTCTATCTCTCTCTCTCTGTATATATATATATATATATATATACTTTGCTTACCCTATTCTGTACATGTATTTGTATGTACACAATGTTATTTATGTTGCGACTGATACAAAAAGCCATGCAATATCTACAGTACAGTAGACAGTATATCTATGAAACCTAGTTTTGTTCTCAATAAATAGTAATAAATAATCTAACTCATGTTGTTGTATGTTCTACTGCCCATAACATTTACATTACTGCTTTGGATTAACGTTTTCCCTTTTTCGTCATGACCTGATGTCAGTTTTAGCTGCTTTGACTGTATTTGCTGATAAGATGATAAGTTCCTTCACTCCACATTCTCTGAAGATAGACATTTCAGTTGGGCGTCTTTGTCCTCAAACGTCACCTTTTTGTTCCTCTTTGGGTCAATCCAAGAGTTGTGAATAATAGCGTTATTGGGGGTAGGGTCCGCCTCAATTATTGACACCACTCGCTTCTTCATCTTGCTTTTCAAGACTTTCTGGAACTTCTGCCTTGTGAAGGCATAGAGTAGTGGGTGAAAGATAGTTGTCCCATAAGCCATGACCAGGAAGCCTAGTCGCAACTTGACCATCAGGTCACTGAGGCCCACGCTGAGGATTACTGTGTTTAGTACCGTGATGGGCGTCCAGCACAGCAAAAACGTAGACACGATGAGGAGGGACATTCTGAAAACTCTCTTTTGGCGTTCTCGTCTTTCCCTGTGACGTTTAACTGCCCTGCGCAAGGCAATAATGACGGAGACGGAGGTTCGCATACCCAGCGTGGGATTACGGGTGCCACTGCTCTGCGAGCCGTCCGTGGTCTCTTGCTGTGTTGTCATGGTTGTCATGGACAGACGCTTTTTCCTGCGAGCTTTCTTCTTCTGTGAAGCATGGAAACGCGTACCAATGCGAATGTTGAGCGCTTGCAGGATCTTTGAGTAGGTGATTAGCATGACAATAGCAGTAAAGAAGAAAATAGGAATCTGAGCAAGCAAGTGGTAATAGAGGCCAAGTTCATTGTAGTACTGGTTAGTGGGGACCACGTTCTCCACCAGTGTCTGGTTCTGCTCTGTGTGGCCTTGAGCAAAGAAGCCCACCTCAATAAAGGGTACAAGGAAGCTAACAAAGGATAGCACCCAGATGGTGGCCAGCAGGGCCAGGGCACGACCCATGGTCAGGACTCTGTTGGCTGGTTTGACAGAGATGTCGTAACGATCAAGGGTGATGGCCAGTACATTAGCAGCAGTGGCAACACTAGCGAAGGAAACACAGGCTTCATGGAAGCAACAGACGAGGGCTGTGTCTCCTTCCAGGGAGAGTAGGACCACCACAATGGTGAGAGGGATGCAGCACACGCAAACCAGTACATCCAGCACATGGAGGTTCATAGTGACGATGTTACTGACGGAGCTAATGAGGTTTGACTTCATGCAGTAAAGGGCAAGCACAGTGAGGTTGGAGCTCAGGCCAAGCAGGATTTCTAGCATGAGGAAGCCTGTCAGGGAGACCTGAAAACTAACAGGATATAGGCTGGGGGTCGCCGGACTCATGGTGCCGCCGATGGGCTCAGTGTTGTCGGTGACCGTGACGTTGCTCATGGTGGCTTCTTTTTCAGGGCACATTATCCTGTGTGTAGGGAGTGAAAAAAAAAATATATTTATGAAGTGGAAAAGGAAATGACGGGTTTTTGTTTGTGCATCTCTGGGAAGTTCCATTTAACACTTATGTGATAACTCTTATCAGATGAAGTTATCCAGTAAGAAGGAAGCGTCAGCATTTAAATGAGAAATACCAAGAGCACACACTTAAATAGAGCAATGATTTTCTTTCCTGTTATGCCCTGAAGATTAGATTGTCTCACTACGTGATTGGCATGACTCCTTGGTAACTATACTGTCTCAGTGATCCTATTTCAGGCTGTTGCGTCTACACCGGAGTCATATAACAGACTGAATTCCAATGTTTTCATTTTCAAGATTGCTTGGTATATTGTTGTTTTGTCAAAACCTACTTGTGGCACAGTGTAGTTCTGAGCATCTACTGAATAACACTTTATAACACATTATATGTTCCTTAGTAACTAAACTAATCATTTTTCACAGCATTTTCTCCACTGCAAAATTATGAATTATAGTTTATAACAAGAGGACTCTGCCAAACAGGGATGTTTACATTGTCAGACTTCCAGCTATTAGAGATGCACATTAAAATACTGAGTGTCCATTCAGGCTAATCAATGGATCGAAGAAAAAAAGCTGCTGGCATTTGGAAATGTCATAAAATTGTTGTTAGGAAGAAGAAAAATTATATCTTACTCTAGGATAAATCATAACAGCTTATTAGTGCATGCATTATTAAACTCATCTAGCCAACCCCAGTCAAATCTGAATATGGTTATTAGATGACATGGAGAACAACAAATGTTTCTGTAATATTTACCCTTGCCTCCAGCACTATCTGAACACCAGAGCGGTGTAATCAGGCCATAGAGTCCATGTTAGATCCACAGAGACGAGCATCGCATCCAAACATCGCTTGTAGAAAAGTGCTTCCGTTCAACTAGAGCCCCCAGCGAGGCTTTTCCTTTTACTGCTAGTCCCTCCCAGAGAGGCCGAAAAACCCCAACTGTCTCACCAAAGATGTCAATGAGTTGTCACTTTTCTCCTTTCTGACCTTGTTGGCAAGAAAGCTAAGCAATTAGCCACCTGTATCCAGTGGATGCTGGGGAACATAGGCTGATGTCTTCTAGGCTGATTTTTTTTCTTCTCTCAGATCTCTGGTTTGATTTGGTAATGCTGAGATAACTGATAGATGAGCAGAGCAGGGATCAGATGTCTGAGCCACCTCCTGTTTATAGTCGCATGATATTCCCAGGCAGGAGAGTCACAGCCAACCAAGAAAACAAAGAAACGCAGACTCTCTTTCTCCAGTGCAGTGCTAAAATGTAGTGCTCATAACATGAGCCTTTTTGCTTCTTTTGTATACAGTGAGAAAATAGCAGTCAGATATTTGTGTATAAGAAAATAGTTACATCCATATCCATGTCTGGTACTCCAAGAAGCGCAGTTGTCTGTCTGCCATGCAGATATTTCCGGTGCACACCACAGTAATGTCCCACATGTATTTGGGAGAGGTCAGAGTGTCCGGCCAGCATACAGGCCCATGCTTCCCCTGGGAGTACTAATGGAACAGGCCTTCAATCTCTACCTTTCTCATTAGTCTCTGTTCTCTTGGCTCCAGCTGCCATTGACTGAGCACAGATCTCCAGTTTGTCCCACGACATGCTTAAACCTAAATCACCGGAGATGGCATGACTGTAGCGTATGTGTATCCAGTCGCAATGACATCTGTGAACACTGTCATTTGTGATTACCAGTATTTAAAGGTACTCAGGAGGGCTGGGGTGGGGTAGGGTGGGGGCTTGAATCTGCAATTCAGGCAAAGGTCATTATCGTGAGGTAGTGGATGTCAGTTCACCAGAGAGAGAAATTGCCTTATAGATTTGTAAAGAGATCCCAGACAATAATTAGTCTTTAGGAGGCCGGATGTGTAAACGGTAACATCTACATGTCCTTCAGTTCCACACCTTTCATTCACAGTGACCTAAAGAGACAGAGAGAAAAAGAGAGAGGACAGGAAAATGGATAATAACGAGAATAAGATAAGGACAGAGAGGGAGTAGAAGGAGAAGAAAAGGGAAGTGTGGGGGACGAATTAGTGAAAGTAGACATATCCTCAATAGAGAGGCGACAAAGAAATTCTCATTAACAAAGCAGCAAGCCTCTGATGTCTTATCGTGTTCCTGTGCAGAACCTGATGCACTTGGTGAACGAGACAGTAGCGCTAATAAAGGGATGCACAAAAGCCACGGAGTATTTTACATCTCATCGTTCTGTTTTGAGATTCAAGATTAACTGCAGCGTTATCTTGTGATTCGTGTTATGCATGTACATATCAATAAAGGAAAATGCTTATTAGGATGCTACTTGTGCAGCAACAGTGTTGGTGACATTGCTGTTGTTGCATTCTCACCAACGGCACAGACTTGCTTAAAGCTTTGGTGGAGTGCGATCCGTTGGGAAACTTGCTACAGAGACATGGATGCCTCCTCGCATGCCCCGATATGTGATCCATATAATCTCTCTGGAAGAACACATCTGTCACTCTTCAAGGTTGCAAAAGTGAGATATGCCTTTACTTGTATACCAGAGTGCCATCATAAATGATCGTTCCTCTGTAGCACGTAAGACATACAGCACAATTTTAAGGTGAACAACCAAGATTTCATGTTTAGTTTCTTATATCACAGAGCATAGGGCATGTGCTTGTTTGTAAGTAGGTGTGTAGCAGTAAGACACAAGTGTGCCCACAGTGGAATACACGTACATTGCAGTGGATAAAATTGAAAAAAGAAGAAAAGCCTTTTAGACAATTAGCTTCCTTGAATTGCCCATTAAAAACCAGAATTGGTTTTATTTAGCTACTAATTGGTTTAAGCAAAACCAAATGTTTCTCAATTAAAGTCCTCCAAAAACACATTATGACTGAAACTGTTCAGGAAATTATATTTGCGATTTCTAATCCTTCACAATTGTTCTAACAGAGATGTTTGGTCCCTCATTAATCTTTGCTGCCATATACTCTCTGCTCGGCTTAGCGCTGTAGATCAAAGCAATAAGTATAGAGTGCCCCATCACAGCACAGCAAAGCTCACCATGCAGAGTAAACACAGATGCTCCTGAGCTGGTCTGTTCACCACGCTGTCCCCTGTCCTTCCACCTCTGCAACAATTCGGTGCGACTGACAGAAGCTGATGTTTTTCTCTTGCACTTCTCTCAGCAGGAATCCAGGACTGAATAGTGATGAACATACAAGGGTCACACAACTGACAGATGTTCTTTCCTTCCTGAGTACCAGACAGAAGAAGTCCAGAGAGATGAGTCTTGACATGGATGTTGGTGGGATTCCCCCTTTTTCCCTCTTTTACCCATTTTACTTTCATCCATCCATGCGCACTGTGAAAACTCCTTTAGCCACCCAACTCTCTGTTGTGATCGCTCCTTCTGTCAGGATAGGAGTGCAAACCATCACACTCCTGGTATCTCTCTCCTGCTCTGCTCCCCTCTTTCTCCCTCACTCCCTCGATCCCTCCCTCTCTCTCTCTCTCTCTCTCTTACTGCGGAGGTTTGCAGTGCTCTCCCCGTCCTGATTGGTCTTCTGTAATAGGCTTAACTCTTTCCTCTCTGGCAAGGGGAGGTATTTCCTTTTGTTCTGATGCTCTCCTCTTTCCCTGTCAGTGATTGTAGCATTCCATGTGAGCCTGTAGTGAACAGCGTGGGATTAAAAAAAAAAAAACTACTACACTTATGCACAGGGACTTTAGATGTCACTGCGCTAATCACACATCCTGCTTCAAAAGCAACCGGGCAGACTTTCGAAGCAAAAACAGGGGTAATGCATCCAGGATGATGTATTAATTAGCTCTGTCACAATATAATGAACAAATAATGCATTTGTAGACCGTGGAAGGAATGATGAGGATGGAGAGCCAGAAGAGAGAACCAATATTTCAGCATTGATTTTTGTGCACAGGTCTAATTTTGCATGTGCAA